GGTGCATGTTTTGTGTAGTTATACAAAGCAAACTTTGCAGTATCACAAGCCTCAGAGGTGAACAGGAGGTGGGAAGGTGCTTTTGTAATGTTGTCAAACTTGTTTGTGAGTTCTTTTCCCTGCCAGTTATTTCAGTTATTTTTTATATTCTTTTTTGAAAGAGTCTGCTAATTTGGCCTCCTTTTTTCTTACTTATACTACAGATGAAATCCTGATTGTTGCAATTTCCATTGCCAATGTAAAATATCATTGGGAAGTTGATGCACTCTGCAGGGTTTCCCACAAGCTACTCCAATATAACTAACAGGATGAAAATGACAACTGTAAAGGTTGTCATAGAGTACAGCTGCCCCACACCATGGCTGGAGCCAGTGAAACCAAGGTTGCATCCTGGTCCTGTAGGAAGTCATCTTTTTCACCCACTGGAGACACGTTAATGACATGCTTATGGGAATATCAGTGACTGTGCTTGTGAATGATTGGTTGAAGCAGCCTCTGTAAGACAGCTCTTTTCAAAAATAAATGATTTTTTAGTGGTCATTTTTGGGGGGGGGAAAAAAAAGGATGAACTTTCAGTCCTCCTCACACAGGTTTTAATAAGTATCCCAGTGTCATATGTCATGTAAATATCTTTCTGAGAATGCCTATCTTTGGTGGTAATATTATTAGAAGACTAGAACAGCCTCTCACAAACTTTTTTCAGTGAATACTTCCATTTTATTTCAACTTTATCCATGCTGCAATTGCTGAAGGATTTAAATTTTTATTGCATTTAAAGTAGATAAAATGAATATGGAAAATTTTTGATACAATAAGGAATGTTCTTTTTACAATTCTATAAGTCAACAGAAATTGGTGTAGGAAGAATTCCAACTCACACTTTTCTTTCAGACCTTGAGATCTGCAGGTTAGTTTATACAATTGCTAAGAGCTCATGCAGTGTGTAAGATTACTTTTTAAGGTAGAAACTAATGGTGCTATTGGTGACAAGATAATAACACTCTGTATGAAACTGTACATAGCAGTTGACTCATGGTCTTTGGTTTTTATCTCTTTTATCTAAACTTCCTTTTTCCTTGTTTGTTTTGTTTTTTTTTTTTGTTTTTTTTTACCAAGCAGTGCTCATTTAAAAATGTACAAAGGAAGGAAATTAGGAAGGAAATTGTTTTTACTGATTATAATGTGTAGACTGTCGTTTCAGGCTCCCTAACAGTACTATTATTTGCGCTCTCATCACAGCACAAAGAAACACTGTTATTTACCCTGGGAAACAGGTGACTGAACTTATAAAAATCACTACAGGACAAGATGTATTGAGGCCTAGCACAGAATGACAAATTCTGGCGGGGTTTGCCAAGAAGAGACATATTGATTTTTAAATGATTAATAAGGAGAATATAATTGTATTTCATTAAGATGGATGGGATTTCATTTAGTCTGTCTTCTCCTTTTCCACTTCAGATGCGAAAGGAAATCAAGTCATCATCAATGGCACCTTGTGTTAGCCTACCATGGAAACAAGGTCATTGATTGAGTAAAAGAAGTTTCTGAGAGGCTAGCTTAGTCTTTAATGGAGTTACTAGCACAGATAACGTGGCAAAGATAACATCACTAGGTTCTCTCATTATTTTGAGAACAACCAGGACTAGGAAAATTTTGATAGCATCTTTGTTCTGGACTTTGATGCTTTTCAAGTTGTGTATTATCCCAAGTAAATTGAGTTGGGTATAGAAATGCACAGGGTTTCTCTTTATTTTTTTTTTATAAAGTCATTTGAAGGCGTTCCACTGTCTAAACCTGAAAAAGGGAGGAGTTCAAATCCTATAATCCTAATGTGTCCTTGGAATCTTACCAAGAAAATCAATGTATTCTCAATCATAAGTATGTAATTAACTCTTCTGTGAATTTCTGTGGATTTTAGGGTTGTGGTTAAATTAAACTTGTATTTCCACTGCTACCTGAAATTGAGGGCTTTGTGAAGGAAGGTGCTCTATTTTACATCACGTTTTCAAGAGCAGCTTAATAAACAGGAGGTGAGGGACTTTCTTCTCTTGCTTTCCAGCACATGTGCCCATGATGCTAACTGACATTACTTCTGACTGGCTGTTGCTTTTACTTTTCCTGTATCCATCCAGCCTCTTTCCAGATTTTATTCTAATTGTAGGGATTATTCAACTGCTCATGTGGCAGTAGCTAAACCACCTGTATATAGCATGTAAATAAAACTTATTTTCATTACACTGACAGTTCCTATGTTGCAGCATTCTAGTAGCTTTTGTGTCATCAATTGTATTGTTCCCGTACATGTGGACTTTTCAGTCGAAGCCTACAGATAAAATATTGAAAAGATTTTAGCAACACATGAGAGGTTCTGTACTGGCTGTTAATAATCAAAAATAATCCATGCTTGACCTCGTGCTCACCAACAGGGAAGGATTGGTTGGAAATATGATGCTCCAGGGCAGCCTTGATTGCAGCTATCATGAGATGCTCGAATTTCAGATCCTCAGGACAGTGAGAAGAGTGTGCAGCAAGCTCACTGCCCTGGGCTTCAAGAGGGCAGACTTTGGCCTCTTCAGGAACCTGCTTAGTAAGGTTCCATGGGATATAGCAGGGGGACCCAAGACTCTTGGTTGATATTCAAGGATCACCTGCTACAAGCTCAGGAGTGTTGCATCCCAACTAGAAGGAAGTGCAGCAGGAGGGCCAGGAGACCTCCTTGGATGGATAAGGAGCTGCTGAGGAAACTTTGAAGGAAAAAAGAAACTTATAAAAAGAGAAAGCAAGGACAGGCAGCCTGGGAAGAATACAGAGATGTCCTACCCGTGAAGCTAGGAACCAGGTTACGAAAGCTAAGGCCCAGTTAGAATTAAACTTGGCTAGGGATGTGAAAGATAACAGGAAGGGACTCTATAGGTACATTGCAAATAAAAGACAGACTAGGGACAACATGGGCCCTCTCTGGAAGCTATCAGGAGAACTGGCTACCCTGCATTTGGAGAAGGCTGATAGGCTCTGAATGACTTCTTTGCCTCAGTCTTCACTGGCAAATGCTCTGACCACACCACCCAAGTCTTGGAAGGCAGATGCAGGGACTGTGAGAATTAAGACCTTGGGCCCAATGTAGGAGAGGATCTGGTTTGAGACCATCTTAAGAACCTGAACGTATACAAGTCCATAGGACCTGATGAAACCCATCCGCGGGTCCTGAAGGAGCTGGCAAATGAAGTTGCTAAGTCACTGTCCATTATATTTGAGAGATCATGGCAGTCAGGTGATGTTCCCGACGACTGGAAAAAGGGAAATATAACCCCCATTTTCAAGAAGGGGAAAATGGATGACCTGGGGAGTTACAGACCAGTCTTGTTCAACATCTTTGTCGCTGACATGGACAGTGGGATTGAGTGTGCCCTCAGCAAGTTTGCCGATGACACCAAGCTGTGTGGTTCGGTTGATACACTGGAGGGAAGGAATGCCATTCAGAAGGACCTTGAGATGCTTGTGAGATGGGCTGATGTCAACCTCATGGAGTTTAACCATGCCAAGTGCAAGGTCCTACACCTGGGTTGGAGCAATCCCAGGCACAGCTACAGGTTGGGCAGAGAAGAGATTCAGAGCAGCCCTGAGGAGAAGGACTTGGGGGTGCTGGTTGATGAAAAAATGAGCACTCGCCGCCCAGAAAGCCAACTGTATCCTGAGGAGGTGATCCTGCCCCTCTACTCTGCTCTCGTGAGACCTCACTTGGAGCATGTGTGTGCAGTTCTGGTGTCCTCAACATAAGGACATGGAACTGTTGGAACAAGTCCAGAGAAGGGCCACGAGGATGATCAGGGGAGTGAAGCACCTCCTGTATGAAGACAGGCTGAGAAAGTTGGGGCTGTTCAGCCTGGAGAAGAGAAGGCTGCGTGGAGACCTCATAGCAGCCTTCCAGTACCTGAAGGGGGTCTATAGGGATGCTGAGGATGGACTCTTCAACAGGGACTGTAGTCCTGTAGGGGTAACGGGTTAAAACTTAAACAGGGGAAGTTTAGGTTGGATACAAGGAAGAAATTCTTTACTGTAAGGGCAGTGAGGCACTGGAATGGGTTGCCCAAGGAAGCTGTGAATGCTCTATCCCTGGCTGTGTTCAATGCCAGGTTAGACAGAGTCTTTTTGGCATGGTTTAATGGGAGATGTCCCTGCCCATGGCAGGGGGGGTGGGACTAGATGATCTTAAGGTCCTTTCCAACCCTAACTATTCTATGATTCTAAAAAGTGAAAGCATATAATAGTTAAGGTATTAATAGGGAATGGAAGGAAGTAGAATGAAAGATTAAGAACACTTAAAGGTGATGTACAAGGAATGCATATTCCTACTAAGTTAACAAATATATTACAGTGCAACACTGAATGTTCATATTATTTTATTATTATATGTTATTGAGTTGCTGGAGCATGTCCAGATAAGGGCAACAAAGCTGGTGAAGGGCCTGGAGCACAAATCTTATGAGGAGCAGCTGAGGGAGCTGGGGTTGTTTAGTCTGGAGAAGAGAAAGGGGGACCTTATCACTCTGTACTACTACCTGAAAGGAAGATACAGTGAGGAGGTGTCTGATTGCTTTCTCCGAAGTAACAAGTGATAGAACAAGAGGTAATGACTCAAGCTGTGCCAGGGGAGGTTTAGACTGGATATTAGGAAAAATTTCTTCACCAGAAGGGTAGTCAGGCTTTGGAATAGGCTGCCCAGGAAAGCAGTGAAATCACCATCCCTGGAAGTGCTCAAAAACTGTGTAGATGAGGCCCTTATTGACAAGATTTAGTGGTGAACTTGCCAGTCCTGCAGTAATGGTTGGACTTGACGATCTTCAAGGTCTTTTCCAACCTAGCTGATTCTATGCTTCTATGATGAAAGACATCACTCTATTTCTGCAGACAGAGAAAGCTAGCTTTTTTCAATTCAACTAACATGATGATAGATGGAGTTGGAGAGCTACAGCCTTGGATGATTAATTAAAAACAGATAAAACAAACAGTTTTGGGTTGGACAGGTGGAGAACAGATTTTCAGGTATCATAGATGAATTATATTATCTCAGTGTGACTACTCATGCAGTTAGGCACTGTAAACTGCAGTTTAAAACTCAACTAAATACATGCAGCATGTTATCGAGACCGTTTTTCAGGGAAGAAAACTGAGACAATGAGGTAGAGTGAATTATGTTCTAAGGCAGGTCAAGAAGGATCCATGAGTTTGTTCCTTGAGCTAGACTGTTCATTTACTGTAAGACTTTAACCAAATCCCTTAGGAGTCATGCTAGAATGGAGATATTGGCATTTATTTGCATGCTCCCTGTGAGAATTAAACAAGAGGTTTTGTACAGTTTCCTGTAAGAATCAGTTACTCTGTCCTCTGTGCAAACTGGAGACACAAAACTATGCATATATGCATAGCTGATAATGGAGAATGAGGGGAAATTCTCTTTTGCATGTGCTAGGCTTCTCACTTCCAGGGAGGCTGAGGAGAGCAAGACATTGTCAGGATATGCAAATAAGGGGGAACGGGAGGAATCTGGGGTGTAAAATGCAAACCACGAGGTTTTTCTATATCTATGGAGATACTGTTTTTGAAAGAAAGTGAGAAAACTGTATTAATGAGGCTCTCAGCCTGTGCTGGGAGAGATCACATCGTGGTCTTATCCTCCCAGTTGAAATATTTACTGTCTCCAAAGCCACAGTTTCAAAGGTAGGCAAAGTTACTTTATCCCTCCCAGCTTGCGATGAACTCAGCTTCCCCCAGACTGCTTGGTGGACCTGACAGCTCAGGCCTGAGCAACTGCAACGATCTTCAATGTGTGTGGCTATAAAATGACTTCTATTAAGTTTTGTAATACAGTTTCAACCTCATACGTTGCATCTGCTTCTACCCAGAAGATTATTTTGCTGGTGTACAGTGTGGTACAATTCACGGATGGGGGCATTTGATAATCATTGTTCTGCTGGATAAGAGGAGAGATATACATATAAAATGTCATTACAGAATATCCTAATTCACTAAAACATGACTTATCCTAACAGGCTGGTAACGAAACATCAGAAAATTAACAGATCATTGCACCTAAAGAGAGGAATGATAATGTGATTTTGATACTACAGTTGGACTGTGGTGACTGGCAGATACAAAATTTTCTAACATATCTTTCAAAAGAAAAATGTAAGTTAACAAAACCCCTAAATTTGGGATAATAACGACACTGTTTTGTTTGAAAATGTCTCATTTTAAGCAGAAATTCTACGTATTAAGATATATATTGAGATACATTCATTCTGAAATAATGCATAAACTGTCTCCTAAATGCGGACTAGGATGCAATGATGTTTGTATCTGTTCACTGAAACAAGCAGAAAGGGTTCTAGAATGTGGGTCTCCTGTCTTCCAGGTTAGTAGCTGTTCTGGGGCAGTGAAGGTAGTCTTTTGCACTTGTCTTGCATGAATTTTTGGTAGACTCTTTGTCTACAAAACATTTTGCTCAAAAAAGAATGAAATAATTTTTAAGACTCAAAAAATCCCCATTTTGTAGTATGGGAAAAATATCTAAGACCTTGTTTTCTTAAGGATATAAGCTTTTTTTTTTTTTTCTCAGATTCTTTGTGATGGTCAGCAAGTCATCTCTCACTGCTTTAATTCTTTTTCTAAGATCTGTTGCTATTCTCCTGCCTCATATTATCTGTATGGACGCTATTCCTATAAAAATTCCTGACTGTATGTTGAACACAGACCAGTGTTAAAGGTAATCACCACCTAATTTTTATTTTGCTTGGTAAATCCTTTATTCTTGCTTTCCTTCCTTTCCTTATAAAGTCTATGAATATGCATTCTGGTGTTCTCTATTTTGTTTAGAGATGCCTTGACAGTATCTGAGATGTTTTCTCATGGGTTCTAACATCAAAACTGAAGGGATGAAGAAATTAGATACTTAACAAAGTCTTCATTTGTCTGTAAAGTTAATTAGTCACTCTTGACCATCAGATTAGATTAAAATTAAATATGGGTCAATTAACACTTGTTACTTTTGTTAGCTTTGTTTATGACCAGTCACACTGAAATTATCACAAGTTTATTCAAGTAGAAATTAAGATGCAGCATTTGCTTTCTTATTTTTATTAAAATCACATTTTTATTTATTTTTCAGATCTTAAATCCATTAATCCTTTATCATTTTGGTAGGATAAGAAGTGTAGATAGGAGGCAGAAATGTAGTAAGTATCACAAAAGAATCATGCCCTTTTTATGTTATAGTATGCATTAATAGATTTGTTTTCCAATCATTTCTTAACTCTAACAGTTAACACATTACCAAACTTTGCACATTTCACATGCATTAGCATTTTGTATTGCATGAGTTGAGTTACCTGACTTTGGAACTAAAAGTTGCACTTGGTTCTTAACCTTGAGTCATATGCTGTACCTAAACAAAAGAGATCATGATCTTGTTTTTTGCTTGTAACCAGTAAGTGAGATCCTTACCTTCTTTCTGGTGACCAGATGCTTTCTCTTTATCAGCTTACTTACAGTACAGTTCCTTTAAACTAAGCAAACTTCTCAGGTCTGGCAGTTCATTCCCCATATTTCTGCTAAGCTAAAAGTCAGGATAAGCTTCCATTTAATTTTGTTAGGAAAACACAGTGCAACATCTAACATTTGCCAACTTGATTATCGCTTTCCCTGTTTTCACCTTCAGAGCTTGTGGGATATTACCATTATTGCAGTGGCAATCACGGAGCCTGCTAATTAGAGCATGCTTTCAACTTATGAATGTAATGTAAAAGCAAACAAACAAACAGAAGACAAACCAAACAAACCCACTCTTTCAGGTTAGAAATTATTTTCAGTGTTTATATGGCATTTTTTTCTTTGAATGCTGCTCTGATTTCCCCACCATTTTTTTTCCATCCTCCCTTTCGTTCCATAATTTATTTTTATTGGTTACAGTAAGACTGCAGGCTTTTCTACAGCTGAGCACAGCTGCTAATGTTTTGCTATTGATTCCACATGTTAGCTCAAAAGTGTATAATAATCTGTTTTAATCGTTGCCTTTGGCTTTTCCTCTTCCCACTCTGAGAAGTGCCCTCTGCCTCTGGCCTGGCATGGCCATAACCAGAAACTGATCCTAATTACATCAAACCACTCTCTGCCAAAATGCCCAAATACCCGTATCGTGTTTGAATAACAAATGTTGGGAGACATAACTCCATCCAGCTCCCTGGAAAATGCTTCAAATTATCAACTGTAGATGTGCTGACAGGAAGAAAATCTTGTGGGCATGGTAAGAGGCTAAGCTACCTCTGGCCCGAAAGGGAATACCTTAGCAGTATGAATGTAATGCTATTTAATTCCCCCCCTTCAAATCCCTGAAGCTCTGAGGAAGCTCCAAATTATAACAGGACTCCTAAGGGAACAGCACATAATCAGCCCTGCTGAAAACATGTTGGATAGTGCTAAATAAATCCCAGGTCTAATTATGTTACTGAGACTGCATGGGGACTGCACATCTGGAAGTCCCCCCAAAAGTCCTATGGTAGTTGCAGTGAAACACAGTCAGTTACTCCAACGCCCAGTGTAGCTCAGCAGCCATCTCCAGGAAGGAGCTGTGAGAGTCCCCTCACAGTGCACAAGTAGCCCACATTAAATCACTGCTTATTTAATCTGTCAAGCTCCTTTCCTTTGGTCTAGGGGGCATCTCCCCAGGCTGGCATGAGAATCAGAGCTGTGGCATCAGACAGGAATGTCTCACCTACTGTTGCTGGGGTGCAGAGCCTTCAGATGCTCCTCAAAAAGAAGCCAGTCCTTTCCCAAGATCTCAGTGTATAGAAGTTATAGAAACAAGTTGGAGTTCTGTCTGCAAAAGTAGAAGCTGGTATTTTGTTGAAGTAAACGAGAACTTTGCCACTGACTTCTCTGTGACTGTGTCTCAGCTGTGAAAACGGCAAGTATTGGGCCAGTTTGCACAAAATGCTCAGCACCCTGCATGATCTTTTCTACAGAAAATGACTGCTTTTTAACTCAGGAGGTGTGCAGTTCCTTATGCTGACATGACTGGCACCTTTCTGAGAAGTCCTTGCCACTACTGACCTGATTTTAAGGTATAAATATAAACATGTATCATCTGGACCAGACCTCACTACTAGGAGCTGACTCAGACTGTATGGCAGGTTTGAAAATAAAACCTTTTATCTAAACAAGAGGCTCCTGAATTTGCTTGTTCTCCTGCGGTTTTCATCAATGATCCTGAAGGAAAATACCAGTGGATGCATATCACCAATAGCAAGAAAATACTATTTAAAGCTATTTACCTTCCTATGTATTTTTGTTATGTTCTGTTTCTTTTATTTGATTAGTTGGTTGCCAGAAAAGAAGATGACATACTAATTACTTTTGTAATTGTTACACCAGTATAGTGCTGACAGTCAATATTACTGTGGTCTGCAGTCAGATATCTGTATTGTTACATATTACTATGCATCAGTGATTCTTGATGATATATGAAGTGAATATTACTGGGTTTTTTCAACTTCCTAAGGAGGGCTGGAAGCACCCTGAGAATGTGAGTGCTAATTATATAGACCACAGAGACAAATTTTTTCTCTTTGCTGAAATATATACATTAGAAAACATAGAAACCAGAAAACCTTGGATGATCAATAGTAGCTCTGTTTAGTGTTTAAAAAAGGTTCTGGAGAGTATTATGTATTGCTGAAACTTATGTAAGAAAAGACATTAAAATGCCTCTGTTCTGTGGGATACATATAGCTATTCTTGATAAAATGCTCCTTTAATGTTATGCATAAGAAATCAGGTCTTTCCTTTGAAGTCAGAAGGAAGAAGTAAGGAATTAAATTTTTTGTTCTCTGATTCCCCCCAAATTTAGATAATGTATGTTAGAACTGTATTAAAAAGAAGATTTTAGTTTCTCAGGTTTTCTTTTCCATGTGCATGTTTTTTTGTGGCTCATTGAGTCTAATTATATTCCTGTTGTCTTTGTCTAGGCTAATTCTACCCCTAGTATTGACTGGCAACAAGTGGAAAAAGCAAGCTGGAGCTTTTGCGTCTCACTTCTCCTGAACTTCACTCCAGTTCAGTGACACCAGCAACGCTTTTGCTGTTGATATTTTCTGTAGTTCTGTTTGGGTTCTGTGCCTGACCGAGCAACAGAACTGCTGGGTCCTTCTCAGAAATGAAATTTCCAAGTGGAAACCTCTGAGGCCTTCACAATATCTCTTCCGGCTAGTATTAGTGGCAATTCATGGTTATAACTATGGTGCAGCAGCACACTGAGGCCTTCAAGAAGTGCTGTGTGATAGTCATGATTCAAACACCCAGTAAGAAGGAGAGTGCCCCAGGTGAAACTAGGTGTGCACAGTATGTCCAAATCTTTCACAGCACTGCTGACCAGCAAGAGTTACAGTACAAGCAGGTACTGCAGTGCTCTTAAACCTTTCAAACAAGGCATGGGTAGCATTCGGGAGCTGTAACTGTGGGTCTGTCTTTTTCCTTGCTGATGCCCTGTATGACAGCCAAAATGAACCAAGGGAAAGCCACAGGACTGCTCTTGCAGATGGTCTCCTCAGAAACCTGGGTGGAGGCATCGAAACTCTCCTCCTCCTTCAGCTCACTGGAGCATGGACTCCTTATTCCCTCTGTCTTCTGCAGAGATGATGTGTTGGTTGTCCTTTGGTGTTTCTTTTCTCGCATCTAAAAAGACTTAGGGAATGGTGACAAGGGTATGGAGACACTTTTGTCCAAGGAATACTGAGATAAGCCAGGGTTCTTCAGCCCAGGATGAAGAGGGCAGTGAGGAGAGGCAGGGGTGAAATACAGGTCTGCCTAGCTCATGGCAATTTTGCGATGTATCAGGTGAAGCCAGAATATCTGGTTCAGAAAAAAAAACAGTGTTTTTTCACAAAAGGCACAGCAATTCACTGAAACGGCCTGTTGCAGGGTGCTGCAAATGCTAATGTTAGCATGGGTTCAAGAACTGGGTAAGTTTGTAGATGAAAAGCGTGATGATCCTGGCAGACACAGAAACCTGTGGAACTGCAGAATGATAAAAGCTGGGAGAACATTTGAAGAAAGTACCTTTGTATACTGCTTTACATACTGCTTTTCCTACTGCAAGTTCCTCAGTATCCACTTTGGCCATTGTCAGACACAGGACCCTGGGCTAAATGCACCCATGATCTGTCCCAGTCCAGCTGCTCTTAGGCTCTCGTCTCGCCATACAAATACCTTAAACCAGGGAAAGTCCACAGGGTACCTGTGGAGTTGCTCAGGGAAGAAAGCAACAGGGTTTCTTTTCAAAACTGATCTGCTCACCAGTGTGTCTTGTGTCATAAACTAGTCACTTTCCCAGGCTGACAACTTCTCACTATTTGCAACACTCTTACCAGGGCCCAGGCTATCAGAAGGGCCCTCATGCTGCTATCCAGTTTGTTAAACAGAAGTTGATTTTATATTTAGTGGTGCATGGAGTGTATAGATGAAACAAATCACTACCATAAACTCAGCAAGATGAATAGGTCCTGTTGAAAACTAGCAAGGAAGGCTGAATGCAAGATTAATATGCAGTCCCAAGTTATGCTTCCCACAACTTCCATTGATTATTTGGAAAGTAAAAAAAAACCAACAAAAAAACCCCAAACAAACAAACAACTATGATTCCTTTTATAAATCGGACTGAAATTCTTGTACAATCATTCTTAAGAGAGGAAAATAATTTGTCTGGGAAGAGAGCTCTTTCACTAGTTTCTGTTTGAGGGGCAAGAGGTTTAAAAGCTTCCTGTCATCACTTTAGGGTTGTTTACTAACAAATTCTCAAAATAAGTACAGCATTCACAAACAGAAGAGTTGTGCTGCCTGGGGGCTTCAACAGTCTAGAAGGTCAACATGGGCAAAAGGAAAGGATCAGCAGCTTTTTAGTTTCTCCCACCTTTGGCTCTGAGGCTGACTTGTAACTATGAATAGGTGACTCTTACTGTGCTTATTGTAAAGGTGAGATAGTAAAGGTCTCTTATCTGGGAATTTGATAGGGAATTGGCATCAAGAAGTTCTTCAAAGTTCAGGGACCGGGTGAAGGATAGACTGTAGCATATGGTGTGTTGTGTGATGCTTTGCTGTTGGAAGATCATCCCTGTGATGGGATGGGTTAGACCTTATTGATTCCTCTGTTTCCCCTATTTTGTACTTACAAGTGACCATTTAATCTTACATGATTTCCTTAGCTGCATAGTAGATGACCTTCTTGAAGAGATGTGCTTTCTGGGTTAGGGGGTCTTCTTATCTGTCAGAAATTTTACAACAGGATGTAAATTGTCTAATTTACACAGAACAGAGAATCACAGTGTCTTCTTTCCCTCCCCAACCAATAAGAAGGGCAGTTATAATTCATTTCCTAGTCTCAATTATGGTTTTGTGTTTGTTTTTTTTTTTTTTATTATTATGAGTTGGTTTTGTTGTTTTTTTTTTTCATTACTGCCTGGCTTTAAAGAGAAAGTACTGACCAAAATATGAATCTATAGCACGTCATCTAAAGGATGTGAAAAATTATATCCTATAAGGTCCAATGCTTTGTATTGATCTTACAGAAGAGACAAATCTCATGGGTCAAAGTTGAAGTGATATGGACAAGCAAAATCAATAATAATTTTAAAAAGAGGAATTTTTTTCCTTTTCTTTTACTAATTCATGAAAAAAAACCACAAGAGCACCATAAGACTTGCACACTATTGATGTTTTACAGATTGCTGTGTTTTTTAAAATTAATTATATTTTGGAAAATATTTTTGCTAACATCTAGTAGGCAAACAGGTATTTTTCAAAGCTGAAATCAAGCATTTCTATCACAATAGACCTGGCTTCTCTTGTGTCATGACTAGTACAAGGTTTTCTGATACCTTGAACACATAAAAAGTACAGCCTTCCTTCTTTGTTCAGTAGCAGAATTGCCAGTGACAGGAGACAAGGAGCTCTGAGATCTCGCGGTGGACCTCATTGAGTAGTTTCTGACTCAGCTGTTCCTCTCTCCCCATGCTTTTCCCCATGCCCTCTGAAGGCAAAAGCAGAAGGTCACAAATATCAGTGCCCTCCTAGCTAGCTTGTTCTCAGTCTGCTACAATAATGCAGTCAGATCTTCATCACCGTGTTAAGAAAAATTAGCTGAATAAGCCTATTCTTTTCTTCCTGAGCTCTTGGGACAGTAGGTCCTAGTGGGGAAGGAATCTACTTAGCCAGGTAGGCTGATGGATGTGGTAACCCTTTAAGCAGTAACCTTCAGAAGTTTCCTGAGGCAATGTCTATGGAAAATGATTTTTGCTACTGCAGATCTGCCTGTATTTTCTGGATGCTTGTCCTTTTATTTACTTAGTCTTTCTAGATGTGGAGAGATCTAGATTTTTCTTTAGTTAACATAAAACCAGATCCCTTGATCTGCAATTTTTTTGAAACCTTTCAATCCCTGAACTAGAGGTATCAGATTTAGAGTAAAGCAAATCTTGTAGTCACTGAGGCTCTTGATCAGGTGTCTGGCCACTGGGTGTGGGATAGGAGGCATACTGTCGTATCTGCTTTTACAAAGAGTCGAAATCTAGGAGAAATCTCCTTAGTTGAAATTATTTCAGAGCTTCACTGGCTCTCAGAGGCTGCTCTGGATTTTGATCTAGAGACCATACACCTGGGTGCTGGGGACAAGGGAGGAGAACCCCACACACCTAATTACAGCCTTTATTGTTATACAGCATTTAAAAACCATTAAACAAATAATTGTTTAATTTCAAAGCTCTTCTAATTGAACATTACTCACACACTCTCCCTTGCCCCCTATTTGCTGTGTTAAAAATCACAACCCTAAAAGAGCTTACTTGAAAGATTCCATAGTCAAGCAGCCACTTAGTCCAGGAGACTCAAAATCCTTTCCCACGAACAACAGATGTGCCTTCAGGTGAAGAGTTACACCAGTGTAGCCAGTGGCAGAATCCAAACAAAAGTATATAGAATCATAGAATTGGTTAGGTTGGAAAAGGCCTTCAAGATCATAGAGTCCAACCATTAATCTAGCACTGCCAAGTCCACCACTAAACCCATGTCCCTAAACACCACTTCTACATGTCTTTTAAATACCTCCAGGGATGGTGAGGAGGAACCACCTCCCTGGGCAGCCTGTTCCAATGCTTGACAACCCTTTCGGTGAAGAGATTTTTCCTAATATCCAGTCTAAACTTCCCCTGGCATAGCTCGAGGCCATTTCCTCTTGTCCTATCACTTGCTACTTGGAATAAAAACCCAATACCCTCCTTGCTACAACCTCCTTTCAGGTAGCTGTAGGAAATCATAAGGTCTCCTCTGAGCAACCTTTTCTCTAGACTAAACAACACCAGTTCCTCAGCCATTCCTCATAAGAGTTGTGCTCCAGACCCTTCACCAGCTTTGTTGTCCTTCTCTGGACCTGCTCCAGCATCTCAATGTCTCTCTTGTAGTTAGAGGCCCAGAACTGAACACAAGATTTGAGGTGCAGCCTCACCAGTGCCCAGTACAGGGGGATGATCACTGCTCTGGTCCTGCTGGTCACACTATTTCTGATACAGGCCAGGCTGCTGCTGGCTGCCTCAGCCATCTGAGCACACTGCTGGCTTATATTCAGATAGCTGTCAAAAAACACCTCAGTCCCGCAGCTTTCCCCAGCCACTCTTCCCAAAGCCTGTAGCATTTAAAAAGTGCAGTGGGAAGTGGATGGAAGGAGTGTAACAGAG